TATATGTAATTTAAATTAATAAATAGTAGTTTATTGGGGGTGATGATATCTTTTATCGGTACAATCGGCTTAAAATTATATTATTTAGGTGCATAGTAACGTCAAATTACAGTATGAATTACGTCACAGATAAAATTTATGTATTTTAAACAAATAATAATATATTTATACATAAAAATCGCAACGTTTATAGCTATAAATTTATTTATTATCGTGTTGTCTATTATAAAACGATACAGTCATAAATTTTAACTTAAAAATTATTACGAGTTTATAAACACATAAATTTATTATTTCTACACTCGAAGTGGGGGTATTTATTTGAAAAGAAATCAGCAAACACGCAACAAGCTTCGCTTCGTTAGCTCCCATACGATTGTACTCGGCCTTATAAATAATAGCGCAAACAGAAACTATAGAAATAAGCTTCCCTTACCTAAACCGTTGTATCCTGCAGCGTTGTCAGCAGCCACAACAGCCACAGTGTCACGAGGCTGCGCTGTACACTCATTATCCACTCTGCACCCAGCCTTCAGTTGGAATCTGGCTGGTTTCCGCTCCGCTAGCCACCCATACGGGACGATGACTCACCTTGTGAACTCTGACATCCGAACACCGGCCGTAGAATACAGGTAAGAACACCAACCGACGTCCCACACTCCCCTCTACCAACGTAGACTGTTCCTACCGTATAACCAGTTTATGCCATTCATCAAATGCAGACTTTTCATATCGGTTCGTGCAAGGACATTTTTGGAAGTTTGGCCACTCCCTTTGATAGACAAACTGAAAGATTGCTACAAACAGGATAAGGGGGAAGATGCTTTTTAGATCTCGAGTGGCTCTATTACTTATACGTCCCATATATTAAGTGGTCTCACGTGTACAATTACAGACACGGCAAAATGCCATCCACCCTCTACTTTTACAACACGTTGTTCGCCTGTACAACTTACAGAATTATACTTTCAATGTGATTAAATGTGTACACGTCTCTCATTCTCTTTGTGTACTGTAATTAAGTACAATCAAACTAGAACAAAAGAAATTATTTCTAATAAAATATAATAATAAAAAAAATATACAAAAGTTTTATATATTTAAAGTAATAAAATCATTATTAACAATATATAAACGAAAATAATCGATATTGGAGACGAAGTTTATCGATCGAAAATAGTAAAAGGAGAAGTTCTTAATCGAAATTTTCATATCGAATTTTTAAATATATAAATCTCTTTATTACACGATAAACATTTAAGTATTTTAACAAGTGAAAAGTTAGAGAATAAAATTAACCGGTAACCATTATAACATTTGGTAAATATGGATAAAGAAGAAAAGGACACGAAATGGCAATTTTTTTACTCCAACTTCTTGTGCAAATGGAACTAACTAGATTCAGGACAGAGGTGGACACTTCTGTTGACACATTTCTGGATGTCAGAAAGGATGGGGAAGATAGAAGAGAGAGAAAAGAATTCCTTGGGCGAACTGTTAATAGGATAAGCTTGTGAATTCTCTTATCCCTCCTTTCTGTATTGGGGTCTTCCCCTTCTCACTGACTAGTCTGTTTTCTGCTCGAATTCACACCAATCAAAATCTTTATCCGCACTGCAAACTCAATATCCTATTATTTTCTGTTTCTTTTGCTAAAATCTTTCCCTCTTTTTTTTCCCCTGACAGATTCTTTGTTTGTTTTAGTACAAGTTAAAATGTATTTTATTTCTTAAAAACTAGAACTTTATTTTAAAATTTATTATTATATTATTGTTATTTTTTTTTCTTCTTATAAAATATATAAAAATAGTTTTTAAAAGAGATCTTTCTACGAGTACATTAATCATCTCCAAAATATACGTCGATACAGATCTTTCAACTTGGATTTCAATTATAAAGTGACGATAGAATCGATATTTCTAATCTATAAACTTTCAGAAAAGCGATCGAATAGTTTCGTTTATGATGATAATTCACATAAAAAATACCTCAAAAAGAGTGAAAAAATATATATTGGACAAAAATTCCTGATTATAATTAAATTATAAATTGTAAAAAGATTGCTTACATCATTGTTACTTGATGATAAAAAAAATCCATTCTGTATATAAACTCTGGTTTGGATCAGTAAAGTGAGTGTTGACATTATAAGATAAACTTGGATTTTATATATATCTATACACATTTCACTTCTCTAGAAGAATCTTGAAAGGATCTGGATATCAACACTTTTATGTGAAGTGAGATCCTGTATGTAGCAAGCACTCTATTGACAATTGGTAGGGATCATCTTTGTCATCTGCGAACCTCTCTGAAGAGTTTCTTTTTATCCCAATTTTATAGAGCTTAACTCTTAGATATTCAGAAAATATAATTTCTTCTGGAGTGAAAAAATATATAGATATATATTTCAAGGTTATCAGAGAAAGAATCTCAGGAGAGATACCAGCTGCATCTGATATGCTTTAACCAAACAGGATAATGTATCTTTCTTTATATAATCCTCTTCCTAGGCATTTAGTTTAGACTTTTAAATAAAATAAATACATATATTTCTTGTTTATAACATAAAAAAGCATTTATAAGTTATTATTGATATAGAAAACTTTTCGATATTTGCTCCAATTCTGCATTCTTTTCATCCATTTTCAGATGATCCTATCAGAATTATGTATGATGCGACTTCATCCACAGGGAGATAAGAAAATTATTCTGGATGAATCCTCATCCAAGCATCACTCTCGCAAGGGATCAGAAGGAAAATATGAGTCAGAAACTTGAAAGAGGAGCTACTCAATATGAAAAACGAGATATATTTGTTGGATTTCTTCAGGAAAATCCGTAAATTTATCCACAAAAGATCGAGTTATAAAGATGCAAAGAAAAATCAATTGAAAATTCCAATTTATAAACACAGATTTCATTGAGTAAAAATTGAAAGTTACAATTGATAAAAACGCAATTAACAAGTGAAAAAATTCAAAAGTAACTTTCTTTTTTTTTATTATTTATTTTTTTCTTTGGTAGTTTCTTATATCATACCCCATCCAAGATGTTATTTGGTACAGTAATTGGAAGACGTTGAGAGAGACTCACCTCTTAACGGTCCGGCTGATCTGTTCATTACCTGTCTTTTCCCCCATGACAAGCTCTTGATCAGTCAATTAATTTCCACCACGTTGGAGAGACTGGAAAACAAGGCGAACTGACTCTTTATCATATAAATTGGATCATGGTGGAGAAAAAGGTTTCAACTTGGAGACAATAGCTTCGTATCATAGAAGAAGACAATTGGTTTGTAAATTGTAAATTGCTCGAGTGAAAAAATAACATAAGTTGATTTCTTTTGAACAAATCTATTTTTTTTTTCCTTCCCCTTCTTTTATTTTTCAGTTAGTCATATCGTGTTTCTAGAAATTTATCATTAGAGTTTTTACGTTGTTTTACGCTCTCTAGGCGTCAAATTCTCATAGCAGATAATTGCTTGAAGTAAATTGAATGAAAATAAATTGCTTCCGAATACTGAAATATCAAAATTTTAACGCTTTAAAGCTTTAAAATTGAAAATTTTACCAGAAATTCTAAAGTTAAACACGACTTCTGCACTTAAAATTCGTAAAAAAAACAGTAACTTTCCTGTGTGGAAAAAGTAAAGATTTTTGGCTCGTGTTCGAAATCTCTACTAAAATAAAGTATGAAAACAAAAAATATTATAATATTTTATCTATTTTTATATAAAGAATACAATACTTTTTATGTTCAGAGAGTGTTTATATTAAGAAAATTAATCATAGATTAATAACATAATATAGAAGATAAAAATGAAAAATCAATAAATTTCAGAATAAAAAATATATATATATATACAAAAATACAATTTAATTCAATAAGGAAACAAGATTTTTCTGAATGGATAGAAAAATTTTTATTAGTAAAATCTTAAGTATCAATTAAGAAACTTTGTACCCGAAGAATTATCAATTATAGCAACAGAAAATGCAAGTTCTTAAGTTGTAATAACCCCCCTTTTACAACGAATAATCGGTGTAGAAAGCTATTTCTAACCATTATGAGGCTATTCGCATTCCAACTATACTTTGTTGGAAGATAAAATTGCGTGTTGAGGGCAATTTTTCCATATTCTCCGATCGCTACTGTTGTACAGTTGAAGGAAGATAACGTAGAAGACTCATCAGAGACACATACCAGAAGATACGTCTTATGAGGCATATATATTTATAAGTCCTTTAGCAGCTTTCATTAGCAATATGATCGTATGAGAGAATTTAGATGAAAGATGAGAATCGCCTTGTACTTAGCTATTTTATTGTTCATTTGAGCCTAAATTTTGACACGTATTTTTTAAAATTAATGGCCATTTTCTGTATTATTATGAAAGTTAATTAAGTTTAGAGTTATAATGATTATAAATATTAAGCTAATTTCGAAAATTTAAGCTAAAATTCATTTATTGTGAAGATGAAATTACTTAAAAATCATATAATTTAGTTACGAATCTATTTAAGTTTTATTCTATTAATTTCCGAAATTTAAATTTTATAATAGTAAAATATTATATTTTATTTATTTATTCGATTATATAACTAAAATTTTTCATTAAAATTTATATTATAAGTCCTAGAGATGTTAATGCAATGCGTGAATATAAACAGAGAATGAATGAAAGATGAGAGCGTGATGTACAGAAATGATGAATAAAGAAAGAAACATCAGTTGCACGAGAATTAACGTATATAAATAAAATATAAAGTAGAAAGATACAAAATTTAAAAGAAAACTAAATAAATAATTTAAATATTATACCACATCAGGAGCAATTACGATTTAGAATATTAGGATCTGTTCGAAACTCTTGATAATGACGACGTATAAATATAACTATATAAATGATTACACCAGCATCATCACTACACCATCATTGGCATATTCATACATCATCACTTCCATAATTCCTACATTAACATTATTGCTACCATCACTTACATCATCATTGCCATCATCCCCGTATCAGCATCATCGTTAACATCACCTATATCAGCATTATCGCTACCATCATCTACATCATCATCATTACCAAGTACAGTACAATTCGATATTACATCAATTCTTAATTACAGAACGTGTTTAATCACTATTTTACGTTAAAATAAGCACCCATTGAAGCAATATTTACAATTACGATTAGGTATAAAATATTCATAAATAAGCTAATTTTATTTATTTTATAAATAAATTATTACTCAAATCAAATAATTACATACTAAAATATCGACCATAATCATTTTGAATTATAAAATTAATCGATTAATCATTTCGTAATACTCATCACGTTAAATTCTCTAAATAATTTAAATAAAAATAAATTGATTTTTTTATTAATTATTTTACTAGAAATTAAAGAAATATTTATTTAAGAATTTCTTAAGAATTTTTATTTCTTTTTTTTTTTTTTCTTGTATAAGCGATTACTCGAAAGTGCTTGTGCGAATATATTTAACTTTCATAGACAATTAGANGAAAACGAGATTAAAAAGTTTTTTTTCTTGTATAAGCGATTACTCGAAAGTGCTTGTGCGAATATATTTAACTTTCATAGACAATTAGAAGAAAATAAAGAGAGAGAGAGAGAAAAAATGAAATCGTTAATAGAAAAGTAGGTTTTCTTATTGATTACCTAATCATTGGTCACAAAATGATTAATCAATGTGACAATGTCCGATGGAAAACAAGATACAAGAGGTGAATGGCTTCAATCCCATCTTCCCATTTGTAGTTACTATGACAACAGCATCCAAAGAGAAAATAATGTTAAATTAATTGCAAACGTTTGAGCAAAAATAGCTCTTAAAGTGTTTTATTTAATCATTTCTTCAATAAAGTTATTAATTTACAAAAGAAAAAAAAACTTTTCAGTGTAATAACATAAGCAGAGATGAAGAAACTAGAATAAATTTCTCTATAAGTATAATTTTTCTAGATTTAATTCTTAAGAAATGGTATTAAAAAAATCTTTATATTGTTACAAAGAAATTCTACAGAAAAATTAAAATAAATAAATAAATAAAAAGAAGAATTCTTGTAGTGAGTGTTGATAAGTGGAGATAATTAGAGAGGGACATTTGCAAATGGGAACGAAACAATTTTCCATATGTATTTTCCTCCGATAATAAAAGAAGTGATGCTTTTTATCACTTCAATACAACTTATTGGACTATCATTGTTGTTTATGGCGCCAAGTAATTACAAATCGTGGTTCGTTGTGGCACCTTGAGGCACCGCTGCAACGATTCCTCCAGATCTAATCACAGATCTGTACTGCAGTTGATTTGTTGTCCCCACAGCAATTATCTTTTCTAACAAAATCCTTCCACCAAGAAAAGATCGTTAAAAAGAATGTCGTACCAAATAATCTCTGGATACTATTACTATCAAAGCTTAACGTTTGATGAAGTCCGTACGAGATTCAAAAATTATTTTCTTTGTAATTTTTATTTTTCTTCGTAAAGGAATTTGCATATTTACAAAATTTAATTACTAGGAAAAGAAAAGAAAAAAAGGCAAACCTTCGTGTAAGCTAGAAATTTATTAAACTAAGTTGATTTGATGCGTATGTTTTCTACAAATTGACTAAACGATACTCTGCAAGAATACGATTGCTCAGCAATTTCTTATAATTAATGTTCTAATAATAATTACTTTCTATAAAATTTTGCATTTTACACGTATAAATTTATCCGTTTAATGTATTTTTTTAAGTCATTATTTTATTAATACTGCTGCTTTTCTTTGTAGTCATTCGAAGAGTTAAGAATGGAACTCGAGGATCATTACTTTTAATGCATTTAATTTATTTTTTACTTAAAGTTATATTTTAATAAATGACTTCCTAGCCAAAAATATAAGTGTATTTTTTAATTTTCAAGACAATTTTATAATATTTTAAAGAAAATAATAATAATAATAATAATATTTAATAAACTTTGAACGCCAGTTCCAACTTCTTAAAGAATGCTCAAGTCTTACCATCTTGAGTATGGATTTTTATCATATCCTAATTACAATAAATTTTTGCTAGTTCTATAAATAAAAATGCCATATGTTAGATAAAAATATCATTCATACAAAGCTCATTTTTCTTACTTTCCTGGCAACAATAAGATATTGAAAGTTCTTACATAAGAAAGAGCAAAGAATTCATATTCACTCGAAGGATTTATTTCGAATTTTAAGTGGAAGAATTATCAATTATTATAGTTATAAAAATGCAAAAAAAGGTTATTAAGAAAGAGAAGGGTGCTTTAAATTATAAAAAGAAAAATAAATTAAATTTATGCACAAAAACAATGAGTAAGAAAACTATTATTAATCCAATTACTAATGATGACAATCCGAGTATATATATATATTTTTTTTCTTTAGGAAAAGAATTGTAAGAATTTCAAGATAAAAATATCTCATTCTCTAGCTATCAATATCAAATGTCAACACGACTAAAATAGGGGCTGAGTGAGTATTTGAAGCACGTTATCCACGTCGTGATGCGTGATACCTTATTTTATGTGGTTTACCTGTAGATTCCTCTTTAGGATGCGGTTGCACGGTAAAATACTTAATTCTGTTGAAATCTAAGAAACATTTTAAGTCTTAAACAAACAATTAATTACAGAAAAAAGAAGAGAAAATAAAATTTTCTACCGATCCAAATGTACTGTACAACTATTTCTTTTTTCTTATAAAAGATTTGAAAAGGGGGAGCGTGAGGGATATGACGTCAATTGAAACAACGCATTTCAACTAATGACTTAGTGTCGCCATTATTTTTCTTTTCTCATGGTTGAAAGAAGAGATAAGTCAGTTGTCTGAGCGATTCTCTTTTCTTTTCTGTCTCAACCACTTTCTGGAAATTTGTATTCATTAGGGAGCATTCATTAACTTCTAATGACTCCTGAGTTTAAAGCTTCGAAGCGGAAAATGACCTGTATTTACAAACCTTAAGATCTTCCAAAAGTATTTTGTATAAAATCTGTTATTGTTGTTTGTTCGGTTACGCTATTGTATAGGATTTTTACTCCAATTCGTGTACACGAGTGTGTGTTTACCACTTTACAATCGAAAGCTTATTAAATTTTTCTACCTATGACCTCTTTCTGTATGGCTTTTGTATCGAAGATACACGATACATTGTATTTTAAATCGTAATTTCTTATTGGGCTGCAATATAGACATAAATTCTCACTGCCTATCTGTCTGTCCTTCCTTAATATAGAGAACGATATTAGGTAATTGAAATTTAAGACAGATGTGAAACGAGTAGGGGTAGGAGGTCCCGATTAACTTATACAAACTTCCTGTATAGACTGGAAATCACGTGATTTCAATTTAAAACTTCCTCAGAACAGAGTTAGATGACCGGCATGACTATTGTCATCAGGAAAAGTATGATATACAGGGGCAATACACTACTAATTTAAGATGGACAGCATATATTTAAATTAAATAAATTAAAAAATATGATTAAAAATTGCATTCAGAATAAATAATTGCTCGTACTTCTTCGATATGTTTTCTGACTGTCTTCCACGTCGCGTTAACGCTTTAACTTTGGATAAACACAGAAAAAAAAATGATTAATAACCGCGTACTGAATCACAGAAATTTAAAACCCATGAGAAAAGTAACAAAAATATATTTTTTTTCCTACTTTTTCTAATGATTCGAATCGATTCTTTAACATGGTAGACGTTTTACTGACGTATGGCAGCTGATATAATTACACTGTAATTATTCAACTTAAAGACAACGAATGGTTATTGAACAGATTTATAGTTGAATGAGAAAGAAACATATCTTCCATGTCTGGCAGTGACACGTCACTCCTCTTTATTGAAAATGGGAGGTTTGAGCAAGAAGTTACTAGAAGATGAGATTATAGGTTTTACATTTGTCTAAGATGTGATAAAAGAATGCGTATGACTTAGTTATAATTGAGTATGCTTTCTTCCTGTTTTTTTTTATTTCTTACTAACTCTGCACGCATGTTTTCGACATATCAGCAATAGAAAAATTGTTTTAAATTTACGAAAATATATTTAATTTTTTATTAAAAAAAAAGTCTTTATATAACTACAAAACAAATTTTTACAGCCTTATTTAACAAATGTACACATGCCACTTCCCTGAAAATCTACTGTCTTATCCATTAACTCGTAGATGTATATGACGTTTTCTTATTATTTAACACTCTCTAAATCTATAAAATTTAATCTCATCGTGCCTTATAGTCTATTAGATGAGTAGGCAATTTATATATTATAGTTTAAGGCACAGAATGCCTATAAGTGGCCTCATGATAGTTATAAATTATAATTAAAGTTATCTTTCTTTATATTCTAATTATAGTTAAACATTTAAACAATTTAAGCCATAAAACTGTGAGCAATGTAGCAATTATATCACAAAATTAAACAATGTAAGTATAAGCTATCAAATTGTACATCTTTATATATATTTAATTAAATGTTTTTTTAAATATATATATGTTACATAAATTAACAAATTAAGAATAATATAAATATATTACGTCTATAAATTCATTTATTATAATCATAATTTGTTATATTAATTAAACATTAGAATATTTTATAGCCAAACAAATAATTCCACTTATACGCACTTAAACAAATAATGTTATAATTAATTATAAATTTATGTATAAAATTACTTATATAATTTAAAATTTATAGTTTTATAATTAAAATTATAATTAAAGCTGTAAAATTATACACGAATTTCATGTTTGATATATAAATTTCCTATTTAAATAATATATATATTTATTTATTTAGCTGTTTCATTTAAATAATTTTATATGAATTTAAAAATAAGCGACTTTAAAATCTACTCATAAAAGCTACTAATTATAATTATAATTAAAATATTATTTTAAAAATAATTTTAAAATTCTACACGAATAAAAATGATTTTTTATAGTTAAAATCTGTAGAAAATTATATAAATATTAATATAAATAATGTATGAAATCTTTTTATTGTGAAATTATGAATGAATTCCTGAATTTAAATATAAAATGATGCATAAATTACAATGTTTATATACAAAATTTAATGCCCTAATACACATAAAACTAAAAATAGAATTACATGTAAACTTTAATGATTAAAAATTACTGTGAATAGTTTTATAAACAGTTAATAAAAATTAATTTTTTAAATATTTTTTAGAATTTTTTTAAAGGAATTTTAAAACCTTAAAATTCCAGGAAAAAATAATTAGAATGTATTAATTAATAATTAAACTACTGTATTTATCAATTAATTTTAATTTAAGATATTTAAATTAATTTCAGGATTTTTCTATAAATTTTTAAGAAATATCATGAAAAATTTAATTTAAAATTTAAAAAAACACATCTAATTATTTTAGTATTTTCCAAAACTTTTCAAGAATTAAAATTCTATTTAAATAAAATTTTTCTATAATTCTTGAAAAATATTCTAGAGATATTCTAGAATATGCTTTACTTAAAAATTAAGCGATTTAACGATTAATTTAATTAAAAATAATCAATAATATAAAACCAGATAATAATTAAAGATAATTTACAACAGTATTAGCATTAAAAAATATTTTAAAAAATCATTTTAAATAGAAATTTTAAAGAAAAACGAAGAAGAAGAAAAAGAAGAAGAACGATAAATCGGCAATTATCAAGCTTTAAAAAAAACATAATAATAAATAATATAAAAAAAAGACGTTTTATTCTAATTTAATTCTCACATTTTGCAGGATGTTGTCCATTTTAAAATTGAACAAAAATCAACTGAATTATAAATTACATTTCCGGGAGAAGTTTTGGATGGAAATTAGGATGCAACGTCAACAAAGGATTAGAACATAAGCAAGATTGATTGTTTCGAAACGACGATAAATGTCTTTGAATATTTTTGAAAATTCCTACTATTGAATCATTTGCTTTCGAGTAAAACTGAAAATAAAATTCAGCTTAAGTTAAACAAATCATTATTATATGTATAAACTTTCATAGATTAACAATGTTTCTCTTCCTCCTCCTGCTCTTCCTTCTCCAGCATCTCCAGCTTCTCTTGCTCTTCTCCTCATTTTTTTTTAAAATGTAAACTAAAATTTAATTTATTTTATTCTTAAAAAAAATAAGGATTTAAAATCAATTACAAAATAATAAAAACAAGATTTAAATAATTTGAATATATGTATATATTTTAGTTTTATTAAAAGCTAAAGTAAATATATTTTCGAATGTAATTTTTGTAATATTTAACATAAGGAAACAATTTTTACAATATTGTATCATTATAACTTTACGATTTAAATCGTTCTAAAAATATTTTTATGTAAATTATCCATAGAAAACGATTTTATTTACACGCATCTATATATAAATAAATACAGAAAATTTCATTTTTTAATGTTAAAAACTGTTCGAAAAATTGTAAAAATAATTTTTTTACACATAAAAAAAATAAATCTTTATACAGAAATATCCGAAAAATCTAAACTTAAACTTTTTACATACGTATAAATTTAATTATAGAAAATGTTTACACATTCGAATGTTTATATATAATTTTTTTTTCTCTTAACTTTCAAACTTTTCAACAGAAATTTACGTAATAAAAATCGCAGAGAAATGATTTAAATATAGAAAAAATATATATATAAAGTCAAGTAACGCCTTTAAATTATTAAAAGAAACGTTAGGAAATGTAGTTTTTTTTTATAATAAAGACATATAAAAGTTTTAACAACAATCAAAGTTCTAAACTGCTGAGAAAAAGAGATTTTTTGGATTTCTTAGACATCAGAAAATGGTATAGAACATGCTTAGAATAGAGAAGAGACATTTGGGAGATATCGATGTATTCTTTGAATACCGCAAGAAGGGTTCATGGATATTCTATTGCATTCAATCGAATGTGCTTTGACGTCCTCATGAGCCCATTCTTAGGGCAAGATAGAGGTTTAACTGCCCGAAAAATATCGTCCCTTATAACTTATAATATCTAAAAATATGCATTCTATAACCTTACAAAGTAACGTCTTGTATTATTTAAGGGTTGGAGAATACATAAATTATACGAAAAAGTTACTTTTTATGTAAAGTTATTCTACTGTATTTTAGTTTAAAATTATCAATTAATTACCTGGAATAAATTTATTAATTTTTGTTTATTATTATTTTTTTATAATTTAAAATATATTATTCAAAAATTTCTAGAGAATTTTTGGATTATATTTTATAACATTTTTTTTTATATTCTTTTAGTGCTTAATTTTTTTTTTATTATTATAAAAATGTCTTTATGTGTAAATTATTAAAAGTTTCAGTTGTCTGGAATAATTATACAGGGTGGCTCCAAAATCAGTTAACCATGTTTTGTATATTTTAGGTGCATTTTATTTATAGTTTAACGAGTTTATAACAGTTTTTGTGTGCTTTTAAGTAATTAAGTGTGACAGTTCAGTCACTACGACGGTTAACAGACTTTTTAACACTCGGAAGGGCACCAAAATTTAGTATTTTATGCAAATAAAATGAAGATGATTGGTCCAAATTTCGTCTCCTCTT